GACAAAGGAATCACCATATCTTTTAAATGATGATCATTTATTATTGGGTTTATTAGTAATATAGGCACCGTTGGAAACTTAATTGGTCAAAAGGGCAGTATACTATTTACAATTAGGAGAGAGGACATGTTTGACTGTTGCACTAATAGACTTTAGAGACAGAAAGACTATATTGTCCATGGCGTTTTTGCATACGTGAGTATATCTTAATGGGTCTGTTTTAGGTAGTGGGCTAGGTTTTGTGTGAATTGGATGTTTTTTATGGGGTGACAACAGAGATTATAGGTGTAATTACCGATGTTGATGTACGGTAAAGATATGTTTGGTGGACGACGAACGAAAATTTAGAAAACCTAAGATCGGAGGTGAACTATCTTTCTGGGCATGAATAAGTTGATGGAGGAGGGTTTTAATCGTACTGGATTCGGAGGTGAGTTGGTTTGAGAAATGCTTTTTATTGAACTTATTTGACTTGATATTTCGTTGACCTTTATGTTGTTGGGTTGTTTTGTAACAGGTGACGATACTGTGGTTTTTATGGTAGGGAGATAGATCTGTTACAGTAACAGAGAGTGGGATTTCAAGATTGATTTCTCTAGAATGGGTAGGTCTATCTCTGTTAGAGACGGTACAAAGCTAAAAAAAGTTGAAGAAATTGTGAAAGCAGAGTACGGTTTGAACAATCGGATTGATGCTGAGTTAAGTTACTGGACTGATGATAGATTAACTAGGTATAATGGTTTAGAAGTGGCTCCGACTATAATTTGTGACAATCACGGATTTATGGTTTTCTGTTCGCTACGAAAAGGGGACAAATCTTTGAATTTGTTTGTGACATTTAGTGAGCGGGTGAACGGGGAGGTGAGAATACTTGGGTCAGTTGATGACACAATTGTTGCATCTCCAAGGTTGGGTTGGGGAGTATTGGGAACACAGGCAGTGGATAGAATATGAGAAGTGAGAGAGGAAACAAGGTCGAAAAATGAGATAGGTGGATCTTCAAAGGATGGAGAAAATGATGATTGGATTTGTGATGAAGAACTTGTAGCCATTGCAGTAGCAATGGAGGAATCCATGGCAGCTTAGAGAGAAGTTCAAAGTGTGGAGAGAAAGACCATTGAAAACGTGCCCTCAAACACGATGGTATGCATAACAGAGGAAAGATATGAAGGTAATATAGTGGCTGATAGCGACTGTAGTTGTGATACAGAAAGTAGGTGTTATACCGGCAGAAGTGGTGAGGGTGAGTTTGGGACAAGTGAAGATGATGAAAAAGATGGAATATTTGGACAGGAGGAAATATATGAATCTGAAGAAGAGGACTATGATTATGATGGTTGGAATGGTTTTGTTAGGAACGATAAATATGTTGGAGCAGATATAGTAAGCGATGAAGATGATTTTGTTGAGGCAGCAACTAATACCACTCGCAATGATAACCCAGCAATGAATAAGATGAGGCTAAGTGCGGCTGAAAAAGGTAAGGGTATTGTTGTTGAAGAGCAACAAGTGCGTGTGAGACTAGAAATACCTGAAGGATTAAAGAAAAGAATTAGCGTGACAGAAATATATGGTTATGAAGATGTGGAACCTATTGTTAGAGGTGTGTATTCGGATGAGATTACTGGCTAAGAGATAGATAC